GGTACATGTGTTGAGGGAGGGGGAAGGCGGTAGTACTGGAGAAGAGGGAAAGACAGAAAGAGAGCCTAGGAAATACTCTATTCTGCGTGAGAAAGAAACAGCACAGGCTTCTAGCTTGTTTATTTGGGCCGAAGCGAGGTGAGAGCTCAGGGCTAACAAAGCCTTACCTTTCTTGATTCTGCCCACAGGATTCTGAGAGTACTAATTTTAGTAGGAAGTTTGTGGAAGGGGAGTAGAGTTCAGGGTAGCAGGCACCCGTGTGCACCCTGTCCAAAATGAATCGCGGTCCAGTTTCTCACACCTGTTTCATCTGTTTCCTTCTCCTCCTGTTCCTATTCCCTGTCCTTTTAGAGGACTCTTAAGTCTTTCCTGAGAAGGGTGCTGTGTGTCAAAACACCCGTTTCCAGTTCCCCAGTGGTGACTCAGAGCTAGCCTTTTAGCCCTTTTCTGCGCAAGGGCCTTTAGTAGATTTAACTCCGGACTGGAGTCTCAGAGCTTCCCGGAACCTCCAGTAAACCCGTCCGGTGAGTAGACTGACCGGACACCGCCCTGTGGCGGTGCCTGGAACTACACTTTCACCCGCTGCTTGTCGGGAGAAAGTGAGTTGTCGCCCGGCCACTGCCTGAAGAAGGGCCGCTCATTGTCTGTCTTCTTCCCTGTACTTTTCCTCCTTAACACAGCCTGTTTGAACAGGAAGATAGTGAGTTGGCAGTTCTCTTAGGAGGCCAGCTAGAGTGCTCTTGTGCAATCTGGAGGCGTCTAGTGACATTCCTGCTTATCACAGCAAAATACTGTTGCGCTACTGTTGCACTATTAAGGGCTTTTGACAACTTTACACAGACCAGATTTTATCAGGGAAACAGTGCTCTCTGGATGGGATAGCTTCTCCAGTCCTAACGAAAGAGACAGAAGTCCCTTTGCCCTTTTAACAACCTGGGAGGAACCCTGTCCTTTGAATGGGGCATTCTGTTTCTTCTGACTAGGGTCCTTCTCCATGCATCCTTTCATGTGCTGTCAGAAAAGCAGGGTGTTTGCCCCAGCCCCTACCCCTCCTCTTTCCCTTCAGTGTGTGCCGAGCCCTTTGGTTCACCCTCTGCCTGCACTTGCCACAGCCTCTGCTGTTTAGCTCAGTGCAGTACTCTGTCTGTGTGTGTGTGTATAAAAGTGTGCAGAACTTAGTCATACAGCTCAAGGGATTTTCATTTATGTATATACCTGTGTAATTAATGCTTAAATCCAGAAAACATCTCCAGAATGCCAGATGGGGAGCTTTTATCTTGATTTACAACATTGAGATACCAAGTTCCAGAGGTCACGTGGTTGACCTGTGGTGTAACTGGGGCTGGAATTACTGTAGCTGCTTCTGGGATTAGCAAGTCTTTATACTTGAATGAAAACATTAGTTCAGACATCTCAGTGCATGAGAAAAGGAAGATAGTTGTTGGCATGGTTAATGTCGACATTATCAGCGGCAGCACGTCTTGATACTTTATGTGCATTGCCTCATTTCATCTGCTGCACAGAATTTTGTCTCTCTTCCTGTCCTACACAAACCGAAAGTTAGAGGGGGACAGATTGCCTCAGATCCCACAGCTAGGAGGTAGCAGTTAGGATTAAACCCCAGAGTGGCCATCACTAAGGACTGGTTTCTCATTGGTCTGCTGTCTCAAATACCTGGTGCCTAGGTTTAAGTGACAGAATTGTGTTTTTGTGGTGGGAGGAGATGGTTGTCTTTCTTACTTATGCATAACGAGTGCTCATTTTAGGCATATTCTGATCTGTTGCTTACTGGAAAGATGGTGAGAGCGGAATCTACCTCTGCCCCCTTTGTGGTGGTTGGACTTGAACTCCAGGCCTTGCTTATGCTCTGGGAGCTTCCTACCACTGAGCCACACCCTGAACCAGGGTAGTGTTTGATTCTTTGACAGGCCCTAGGGTGATGTCCCTTAGAAAAGAATCTTTCAATAAGGATGGCCCTTTAAGATGTATGTGTAGCAAGAAGGTGATGTCTTTCTTGATGAAGTATGAAAACAGGATATGCAAACATGAAATGTGGACCTAAATATCCACACTCCATTTGTCTTAAAAATAAATAGGAATGGAATAAATTCATGAGTTAGTCACATGACAGAACTCTTAAAACATTGGACCTGACATCTAAAGAAATATGAAACTTATACAGCCATTTAAAGGAAAAACAGTTTATTATAATGGGCTTTAGAGTTGCATAAACCAACAGTGCATGTTGATGTCTTAGTCTTGCATTGCAAAACCCCATCATATTTGAGGAATTCCAGCTATTTTGCATGGCTTAGATATTTGTAAAAATATATTTAATATTTTTCCATTCATCTGATGTTTTCAGCCAGAGTGGTAGGGGACAGTGCGTCACTTTTAGGGATAACGTAAGAGTAGCCAGTGAAATTCATGTTTTACAAGATGAAAATATGGTAGGAAGTATCAGTTTGCAGTGTAGAGGCACATTGAAGTTTTTTTTTCCTTTTTTGAGACTGCGTTTCAATCACTGTCATTCAGGCTGCCCTTGAAATTACTATATCGCCCAGGCTGGTCTTGAACTCCTGGTGATCTTCCTGCCTCAGCCTCCTGGGTGCTGGGATTACAGCTGTGCACCACCAGCTGTCTTGAAACTAATCTTAAAAGTATAGGCAGCATGCTTTATCTAGCTTGCTTGGTGAAAGACCATGCTTTTTGTCTGTCTTTTTGTTTAGTGGGTACAAAGAATATTGTTACCATTTGTATTTGAAGAGCTGTGAGTGCCCTAAGTAAGTTAAGGATGTTTTGATACTTGTTTCTCTTAAGCTTATGGGATGATGCTCACTACTAAAAGCTTCTGCTGTGACAAATGGTTCATTTAGCCTTTGTTTAGTAAGTAACGCATTTCAGCTAAACTGTCAAGAAGGAAATAGGATTGTGCAGAATGAATCCTGTGATTAAGGTCATTCCTGAAATACAAGTAAAATGCGGAAAATGTCTTCGCAGAATAAATATGTAAAAGCATGGTAGCAGGCAGATTAATATCCTCCTTCACCCCCACCCCAAAGCAGGGTCTCTCTGCTGTCCTGTCCCCAGCACAACTTAGGAACAGCTTTCAGAGCATAAGTCACCACACTGGGGGGTGGAGCTTAAGAATGCTGTGTCCTCTGGCCAGGACCTGCCGCCAGCAAGAATTGCCTGCACGCTGGGCTCTGGTGCCCAGCACTAAGCCTTCTCCAAGTTGTTCCCTTGGGCTTCGCTAATGAGCGGGTAGGCAGGGGGGCTGCTAGGAAATGAGTCCTCGGTAGGGCGGAGGACGCCCGAGGGGGAAAGCGGACTGTGTCGGTGTCCTCTTCAGTAGCCTTCCTGAAGTAGAAATACCCCCTCTCGGATGTAATTTACCTTTTAAACCTTTTAAATGAGATTTCTGAAACTTTAACTCTTATTCTTACAGTGATGATGTACAGGGTTATGGTTGGCTTTGATAAATGGAAACACATACAATTTAAGATAAAAACAAAGATATCAGTGAGTACTTGAGGTTCCTGCAGGTGAAATAACCCTGGAATGATTTCCTGATTATAATGCGTAATACGGACAGCAGCGGAAGGGAGGAAGACAGAGTGGGAAAGTAAGGTGGGGGGTGGAGTGTTCTGCTCCCTTGTTATCTTCATTTCTCCCACCTGTTGATGCTTATTTTAAATTCACATAAGTCTGAGTTATAATTTATTGTGGTTTTTTCTATTTTTTTCAAGAATTTGAGTTCTAGATTCTTAGCCTTAGATAATTATGAAAAAATTACCCAAGTGGGATGTCTACTTTGCAGCCTTTTTGCATATTTCAGATGAGAATATTCAGGTACTTCATACCTTCACTTTGGAAGGCATTCTTTTTTTTTTTTTATTTTAAAGAGTAAAAGAAGGATAACATAATAATAGGGGGGACTTAGCAAATTATAGTCAAAATGGTTGGGAATTATCAATGGTTATCGTTTTACATATTATTATCTACAAAATAGTTTTTCAGGAAAACAAATAGACAAATAATAGTGAGTTAGAGACAAAAGAGGTAGGAGATTATCAAGAGTTGTTGTGCTATACTTTGGTACCTTCAAAGTGGCTTCTAAAATAAATAGAGCTATACATGAGTGACCTATTGAAAAATCATTAACTATTCTCAATGGTTGTTGTAGGAAACACATAATTATAAACATACATCCATTTATGAAATAGGATAGGAACATTACAAACTTTACACAGTTATGGATAGATTAGGAAAATACCAATGACTGCTGTAATACATGGTGGTATCTTCAAAGTGGTTTCTCAGGAAGACAGAGATATGCAAGAAGGATCTAATAAGTAGTTACAGCCTAAGGGTTGTCAAAAATAGCATATTACCTCCTCACCAGTGACTCCTTTCACTGAGGTATGATGGCTGGAAGGAAGGCCAGGATTGAAAAGAAGGACCGAGAGACTTGCATCTGTGTCTAGCAACAGGCTGTTTTCTTGTTCCTCCATAGTCATGATTACCCAGGACTCCTCCATGGAGATGATGGTCTGGCCAGAGGGAGAAGGCAGACCATGCCCCAAGCCCTCTCATTCCTGTTGGACTAACTGGTAGCATGGGTCTGAGCTCTGGGGCCTCCACCTCAGAGGGCAGACCGATCTCCAGTGGTCTCCTTTGCATCCAGGGCATGGCCCATGGGGCCTCTTAGGGCAGTTCCTCTTGAGGTGGCCTGGCTTTTAACAGTGGTAGCAGATGAATGCAGTTGTCGAGTTCTTCTTGGAGCCCCGGGAATCAGACCTGGGATCTGTTTCACTTTGGAAGGCATTCTAAAGAGACTTCATTTATTAGAGAATTGACATAGTGGAGTAAATGCTAATGTAATGGAGCCGTTTGACTTAGTTTTGGATACGTGGAATTTGATAAAATGAGCATGCTTATGTAGGTAAGCACACAACAAGTTTTAAAGTAAGGCCTTTTCTTCTGTTTTTTTTTTACAGTCCTATTTTGTAACAGATTATGATCCAACCATTGAAGATTCCTATACAAAGCAGTGTGTGATAGATGACCGAGCAGCCCGGCTAGATAGTAAGTTAATAAATGTATTTATTTGATAGCTCACATACCCTGTGTTTAAAAAGTTCTCTCTGATGTTTTGCTAGGTTAAACAGTGTAATTGAAATATTAGATGATCTTGGGGCTGGGGATTTAGCTCAGCGGCAAAGCGCCTGCCTGGCAAGCGCAAGGTCGTGAGTTCAGTTCCCGGTACCAGAGAAAAACCAAAAAAAACCAAAAAAAACCAAAACAAACAAACAAAAAAAAAAAGAAATATTAGATGATCTTGAATATAAATAAGCCCCCCCTTTATTTTTATTGATGAGTCTGCATGTTGGTTAGTTAAATGTTCTTCCATAAATAAGAAGTAAACGAGTCATTGGATTGATGTTATGCTTAAACTGGCCTTGTCATTTTCACTTGTTTGAGTGTATTTGTTGGGACAGCTGTAAAGAACATCAGATCTCCACTCTTTCCCTTGGCAAAGGTGATAGTCAGGGAAGGACTATAGGAAAGGTTCAGGATTTGTTAACCTAGAATTTATAAAAAAGGACACAGGCTTTAACAAATACGTGTTCGGTTAAACACCCTACCTCCACGGAAGAAAATCCTGTTCTTTTAACTTGCAAGATTCTCTAATTCACAGAGATCCAGAAATAACATTAGCACTTGGGCTATAAGTATGGTATGGGAGGGCGCAACTAAAATTTCTTTTTTGAACTTTTTTTTTTTCAGTTTTTTTTTTTACATAGTAGGGATAAACATCAAAGTAATTTCAGAGGTTGTCTGATTCCATCTGCCTAAATGTATTTGATATTTTTAACTTTCTAATTGATATGCTAATATATTCTAACCACAAAATCAGCCTGTGCTGATGGAGATAAACTCTGAAACTGTCTGCCATTAGAATATGTTTCTTTCTGGTATTGAGAGTAAACTACTAAGAGAGGAATGCTGTTTCCTAGTCACACTGAGTGCGAGGCTCTCTCTAGAGGACCCACATGAAGGGAGCCTGCCTTTATGAGAAGCAGTTTATAAAACAGAAACACAAATACAGTTCCCTTTGTTGTTGTTTTCCTTTAGTTTTGGATACAGCTGGACAAGAAGAGTTTGGAGCCATGAGGGAGCAGTACATGCGGACTGGGGAAGGCTTCCTTTTGGTCTTCTCCGTCACAGACAGAGGCAGGTTTGTACCAGTATTAAAATGTAGCTCACTGGTCCTGTCCAGATCACAGTTTGTTGAGTTTAGAAATTCTTCTTTTTATAGAAAAAGGAAAAGTAGGAAAGTACTGAATGGATCATAGAACTTGCTGAATTCTGATCTTTGCCAATTTTTTTTCTTTTTAAAGTTTTGAAGAAATCTATAAGTTTCAAAGACAGATTCTTAGAGTAAAGGATCGTGATGAGTTTCCAATGATTTTAATTGGCAACAAAGCAGACCTGGATCATCAAAGGCAGGTAAGAAGGGATTTTGCTGTTGGGAAGCCATGTAAGTAAAGTGATAGGTGAAATGGGATGATAGAAAGTTCTTGCTCCAGCCGGGCATGGTGGTGCACACCTGTAATCCCAGCACTCGGAGGGTGAGGCAGGAGGATCAGAGGATTGATGTGAGTTCGAGACCAGCCTGGGCTACAAAGTGAGCTCAAGGCCAGCCTGAACTGCGTAGGGAGACCCTGTCTCAAAAAGACACCCCCCCCCAAAAAAAAGTCCTTGCTCCAAAGAACTGTACCACATGTCACTTCGATGTTTATTGCTGAGTCTGGCACATTGGCTCTTCCAAAAGTCACATTAGATAAAAAAATAAGAAGAAAGATTTGGGGAAATCAAATTTTCACACAGTTTAACACAAAATTTCAGAAGAGTGTATAAGCCTATTTGTTCCAGTCCCACTTCCATGTAATTTCTTGGGTAACATCTAAAAACTCGAATTTAGTTACACCCAAATATCTGTAATTTATTCACCACTAATGTGAAACCTTTCTTTCGAGAATGATTTTAGTCTAAATTATAGTACTGTATTTGGGTTTTTCATAGCTCCAGTTGTTTGCCAGCTCTAATACCAGTAACCTTCAGGCTTACGAGTGTGTTTATTTTTTAAAATTTTTTTTTTTTTTTTGGTATTTTTGAGGCAAGATCTCGCTCTGCAGTTGAGTCTGGCCTTGAGCTCACTTTGTAGCCCAGGCTGGCCTCGAACTCACAACGTTCTCCTGCCTCAGCCTCCCAACTGCTAGGATTACAGGCGTGCGCCACCACGCCCGGCCTCTGAATGTGTTTACTATTCCCCAGGGAAAAGGTCCTGTTCCCTCCAAATAATGGTTTCCTAGCCATACCTCTTTGTGCTTTGTATGGTAAGGCACTGAATGTAGGAACCAGGAAACCTTCTCAGCTTTGTTCACAGTTTATCTTTAGCACACAGAACAAAGGTCCGCACTCAGGAAGCATTTGCTGAGCGAATGAGTCTGGCACTGCCTGAAGGTGTGGCATGAATGTGATGGTTCTCTCTGCATAATCGATATTTTTAAAAACAAGTTTTGCTTTTCTAAATTGACTAATATGACATAGCTCTAAATGAGTGTTGCAAATGTTGTAGTTTGTTCCTGTTGAAACCAATTTGTTCAGGTAAAACTATCATTATTTTGTCCTGTCTTTGGAAATACATAGTACTAGATGAACTCATTATTGTGAGTTTCTGCTAGTACTGTGTTTATTTGTACTTTAAACTGAGTCTTAGAAGTTCCCAAACTATTGTATTAGTCATCTTGAATATTTAAAACAATTCTAAGTGGAGCTCAGACTTACCGAATCAGAGTATCTAGGAGGCCCAGCCCAGCTTTTGGTATCTTTATAAAGTTCTCTGAGTTGAGGACTCTTTAGAAAATACGTCTGTTTAGCTTTTAGTCTCTTGGTTTCTGGCTTCACGGGGCTCTATTTTTGTTGCATGTGTTCATTTGCTTTGGTGATTCCAGTGCTGTTTCTACTTAGTTAAAACTATGTTACATCAGTGAGCTCAAAAGCAGTTTTGTATGTGCAAATTGTACTGACGTTGATTCTTGGAAGAGAGTGAGGTGAAACTAGGCTTAAAAAATACAGTCAGTGAATGGGGTATATGCGCATAATTTCAGCACTGAAGGAGGCTGAGGCAGGAGGATCACAAGTTCAAGCCCAGCTCTTGTGACTTAGAGACTTAGCTAGACCTTGTCTCAGAATAGAAAGAGGGAAGGGATGTAGCTCAATGTTAGGATTCAATCCCCAGTACCACATTTAAGGGAAAAAAACGCCCAAAATAGTGAAATACTGTACATAAACAGCCTTAGTGTTGGGGTTGTTTTATTATCTTCTAGACCATGAGTTCATTAAGTTTTCTTATAATGTACAAGGAATAGGTCATTTTCTTTTAATTTGAGTTACATGCGTGGTAGCAGGGCAAAATAATTTCTTGAGAAAAATTAAGTAAAGAGTAAGATTCTTAATGACATATATTTCCCTGTACCAAATTTATATTAATATCTCATTTGAAATTGACTCAAATGCTTAAGTGTTTGTTTTTCTCTTCATTGCTTCTTTTGCTGGAGGATGTACTTAGTTGCTTGATTGGTCATACTCCATTTATGTAACACATGTTTATTTAGTTAACTGTTATTCTAAGTTTTGAAAGTGCCTTCCTAGCCTCAGAGAACATCTTGAAGGTGGTGAGAGATGAGAAAGGAAAACTAAGGTTTATCAGTGGTAACCTTAACTATGATGGGAGCTCTGAGAAAGTTTTTGTAAAACAGCAAGAGAAGTTTTCATTTGCTCAAGTCTTGAAAGGTTAGTAAGAAAGAAATTGAGAGTGTAGGCCTACAGAGAAGGGTGACATCATAGGAAGAAGGGACAGAACTTGTGGACAAATAAGGTTATTTCTATGGAGAGGAATTTCCGTGTCAAATTTTTAAAAATAGAAATTGTCCTTCCTAAATTGGTGGTTCTATGAAGCTTCCCTATCTTCCATACTTACTGTTAATTGCTTGCATAATTTGACTTGTGTTTTAGACTCATAAGCCTTATACATGTACATATGTTATTTTGTAGAAAGGCATGGTAAATTTAGAAGTTATACAAATTAGGCTATACCAGTGCTGTGTGGAACTTGCCTTCCACCCTGTTGGAATGCAACAGGGGCACAAACTGTTAGAAGAAATTGTTGGATGTGTCTGTATTAATGTAGCAAAGTAATGCTGTTGTATTAAGGTTGCTGAATTTTGGGAATAGAATATTAAATTGGCAGAACAAATTACTTGAAAAAAATTAAAGGGAATAATGGCAGTGAGATCAGATTCCAGTCAGTAAGAGTGGAAAACTTTACATTCTTGGGGTACTGGCCCATACAGTGTGGAGGGTTTTATCCTAGTGGGGGGCAAGATTAAATACTTTCATAACACTCTGTCACAAAACCTGAAGCATGACCCCAAAGGATCACACTGTTTGCACATAATTAAGTCTGAAAAAAAAAAGCCCAAGAATATGTATAGAAATGCAGGCTATCTTGCACTGCTATGTTAAAATCCCAGGCATCCACTTAAAAATTACCAGGTAGGAAAAGGAAGAACATGCTCCATTGTAAGAGAAAACCCAATAAATATAAACAGATTGAGAAATGACTCAGATGATAGATGTAGTGGACAGAGGCATCAAAACAATTATTTTATCTCTATCCCACACTCAAGAAAGTAGAGAAAGAACTAAATAGAAGTAATGTAGAAAATATGAAAAGACCCAAATCAACTTTTAGAATGTAAAACTATGAGCTGAAGAGACACTCACTAGATGATCTTAATAGGAGAAGTAATGACTGAAAATTTCTAAATTTGATGAAAACTGCAATGTGCACATCCAAGAAGTTCAACAAACTCTCAGCACAGAATCATGAAGAAAACTAGAAGATGCACAGTAATAAGATTTCTTAAAACCAGTGATAAGAAAATCTGAAAATTAGCCAGAGGAAAATAAAGCATTGCATATAGAAGAACAAAGGTAAGGATAGTTATATTCATATTATTTCTTGTTGGAAACAGTGCAAGCCAGAAGATAGCTGTACATCTTTTTTAAGTACTGAAAAAATGTTACCTAGGATTTACTACCACCAAAATTTATTTCAAAAACGGTGAACTAACGCGTTTTCCCAAACACGTAAAGTATGAGTCATTACCTATCTTCACAAGAAATTTGTGTACGGAAAATGCTTAGGCAGAAGGAGATAAGAGTCAACACAAAAGAATGCAGAGCACTGGGAACCTCAGTGATATGATATGGGTGAACAGAAATTGCTTTTGTTGTTTAAATCTCTTTAAAATGTAATTGAGTGTTTAAAACCAAAACAGTATATTGTCAGGTACAAGGTTATAATAAAGCAGAAGGGAGAAGTAGATGATTACAAAGTTCTTAAACTATGCATGGATTGGTATAAGACTGTGATGAATTAAAATATAGATTCTAAACTCTAAAGCAACCACTAAGAAAGCATAATAAAGGAGATGAAATGGGGTTGTAAAACCAGCTCAGTTAACCCAGAAGGCAGATAAAAAGGATAAATGTGAGAACACCAGAAAACATGGAACGAATAGAAAACAAGCAGCAAGAGGAATTAACTGTATCCGTGAGCAAATTATATACTAATTGTGTGAACACCTCAGTCGAAAGGCTGATATTGTCAGATTGGTTGAAAAAGCACAACCCTACCAAAATCTATTTTAAAGACAGAAGTGAGTTAAAAGTAAAATGGTAGGGAAAGACATACCATATTAACAGTAATGAAATAAACCCAATGCTATTAAAAAACTTTATGCTGATAAAATTCAATAAATTAGATGAAATGAACATGTTCCTTGAAAGACCCAAACTATGAAAACTCACTGAAGAATCATGTAAACTAAAGCCAGGCGTGGTGATACATACCTATAAGCCCAACACTTAGGATTGAAGGTAGGAATTCAAGGCCAGACTGAGCTATGTGGTGAGTTCAAGCTCAGCCTGAACTACCTAGCAAGACCCTATCTCAAAAAAAAAAAAAAAAGCAGCTAAGCTAACCTAAGCTGACTAGTGTCCTAGATATCAAATAAATTTAATTTGTCACAAAAACTTTCCTTCAAAGAAAATTCCAAGCCCAAATGGATTTACTGGTGAATTATATATAATGAAAAGGCGTGCTCCCTGAGGGGTACAGACTGTTGGCATATTGAAGAAAATTCTGTCCAGCTTATTACATGAAACCGTCATTACTCTTGAAACCAAACTAAAGACATGAAAACCACAGTCTGGTATCTCTTCTCAGCATAAATACAAAAATTCTTAATAAAATGTCAGTAGATAGAATTTAACAATATATGAAAACCACTCAAGTAGATTTTATTCCAGGAGTGACAAGTTGGTCTAACATTTTAAAACGAGTCGTGCAGTTCATTATGTTAATGGTCTGAAAAGGAAAACTCACATGATCATCTCAGTAGAGAAACAAATAATAAAATCCCCACCCGTTGTATTAAACACTCTTTACGGGCAGAATAGTGGGAAATGGTGTTAACTGGATAAAGGGCATCTACCATCAAAGCCCAGCAAGTGACAGCACACTTCCAGGCGAAGGTGAAGGTACCTTGTCCCTGGGATCAGAGCCAGCGGGGCAGCGCCTTTCATCTCCTCTGTTGTGGCGCGGGGCCCTCTGGGCAGCACAGCGAGGCCAGAAAAGGAATTAATGTCAGAAAGGAAGGAACAAAACTCCCGTGGCTTTTTTTTTTTTTCCTGGTAGTGCAGTGGCCCCTTGGTACCTTTAGGGGATTCGGACTCCCTACAGACACTGAAATTTTCGGCTGCCCAGGTCCTTTGCGTAAAGTAGCGGTTTGCATATTAACCTACACATATTCTCTTGTATACTTTAAATCATCTCCATTTTAAAATGTCTCCTACAACATAAATAATGTGTAACTGGTTGCGCTGTATAGTTCAGGGAGTACTGAGAGGGCTGCACATCTTCAGTACAGTTCAGTTCACACACTTCGGATCTTCAGTTGGCTGGACCCACTCATACAGAACTCATGAGTATCGGGGATGAGGTTGACGGTTCCACCACAAGTTATTCCGAGTCGTTCTGGGGATCGGGGTGGTTCAGTGTGTGTTGAACTACAAAGTCTGCTAATTCATCTTACGATAAAACAACTGGACCTCTGGCTTAATAGTCCGGTCTGCAGCCAGGATTAGATGGAGCGAATGTATTTACTAACAGTGTACGTTAAACACAACTCTTGGAATTTCAGGTGACACAGGAGGAAGGACAGCAGTTAGCACGGCAACTTAAGGTAACATACATGGAGGCGTCGGCAAAGATTAGGATGAATGTAGATCAAGCTTTCCATGAACTTGTTCGAGTTATAAGGTAAGCAGAATCCATGCTAAAAGTATGTTTTAACTGCTATTAAATGTTTTTAGTAAGAAAGAAGAAATTGTATGTAGGAGCAGGTCCTTCATAGAGATTGCACATGGCTTGTTAAATTTTAATTAAGTACATAGCATATTGTAGGTACTTCTAGTGCACATACCTCAATTATGTGGAAGTAAAAAGTACATGTAGAGATTATAAAAAGAAGAAATGCAGCTTGCAAAGGTAGTGATCATGTGAAGCTGGTGATGACAGCCGCTGGCATTTGGGTGGTGGTCAGATATCTGCCAGACAGTGTGCTATACTACTAAGTGCACTATTACATTTCTTCCTTACGATACAACTAGGTAATAGAGCTTTAGTAATCCCTCAAGGTGAGGAGTATGACACCCCATTCTACAAGAAATGTTTCTGATAGATGGTTTAGGAGGCCCCTGTGGTTTAGAAAGCACTGACGAATTTTAAGAAGCTTGGTGACCATTGACATTTGCTAGGGTTACCATATATGCTGCACGTCAGAGAGACAAAGTTGCTTCATTGGGCAGTGCTTGCTTAATCTATTTTGAGTCTATGTGGCCTGGCCTCACCTCTGCTGAAGCCTCTGCTCTCTGCTAGATCTCTCTGCTAGTTTGGCAGAAGTGTGCAACAGGCGCCTTTGCCCTGTGTATCTTAAGTGAACTGACACGAGTGAGCTGTGGGCTTCTTGTACTTGCCAGCTACTTGCCAGAGCATTCTCTTTGTGAAGGGGAAAAAAATGAAGGTTTTGGTTTTTTAGTATAGCAGTTTGTTAAAAAGTCCAGTCATTGTATAGTAGACTGAATATAATTAATGCCACTGAACTATAAATTGTTAAGCTGGAAATTTTTGGTTTTACCCCTTTCCAACATCCCAGTTCCATTTTAATGTTAAACAACTGATGAATAATTATTCCTTCTTGAAACAACTGTTGCACTGTTGCTGCTTATTTGAAATATCTGTTCTTATTTTTGGCCCCTCAAAATCTATCTTTATCCATTAGTCAGAAGTGAGAAAGGGAGGTGGAAGCATGAGTGTGTGTGTGTGTGTGTGTGTGTGTGTGTGTGTGTTAAATCTAGGCATTATTAAACATACTTAAACATATAAGATCTTAAATTCTCATAAGAGGTGTATAAGGTAGATTTTTATTATTTTTTTCTAGAAAGATTCAGAGAGATCAGCTAACTCATTTAATACTAACTTTAATAAGTGGCAGTTGGGACTAAGAACTGCATGTTTACCTTGTGAGGGTCATTTTGTACTGTACCCTGTGGACAGGTATTTATTTTTAAGTGTACCTTTGAGTTAAGGAGCTTCAAATTGGGATGGGAACGTGGAGGTTACTGAGACTAGCATCTCAGGTGAGTCAGGGCTCATCCATGAAACCTACTCAGCTCGGATTATGCTTATTTTGACGCATTTGTGCACTTTTGTTTTCTTTTAAAGATTTGCTTTGACCCGTAGTTGAACATTGAAAGCATATGCACCTATACAGAGCTTGTCCAAAAATAAGGTACATTTGTAATAATAAATTACCAGATAGGTGATGATACCCAGGTTTTTCTGTCTTACAGGAAATTTCAAGAGCAAGAATGTCCTCCTTCACCAGAACCAACACGGAAAGAAAAAGACAAGAAAGGCTGCCATTGTGTCATATTCTAAGAATCCCTTCAGTTTTAGCTACCAACTGCCAGGGAAGGCCCTCATCTCCTCCTCCTCTCCTTGTGGTTTACATCATGTTGGTACCTTTCTAGCCTTAGACAAATGATCACCGTGTTAGCCTTAGACCAAGAAGCCGGCTAATCCTTCCCATGAAGCTAATACAATGGTCCTTTCCAGGTCAATTTAAAGGAAACACTAAGGCTGCTTCAAAGATTATCTGATTCCTTTAAAATACTGTCTACATACATAGACACTCTTTTTTTAAGGGCTTACATTTTATTAGGGGATGAGTCAGTTTTGGAACTGAAGTTATTTGCCAAGCTGAAGTCATAGGTTGTGAAATACTTTTTAACTTCTGGAATCATATTGCCTACTGTTACTCTAAATAGAAACATAAGGAGTTTTTAAAAAAATGTGAATTTTTGCCTATCCTTAGAAATTTTGATGTCAACTTTAACCTTAAGTACACTGAATGGAATCTACAAAAGTGAGACATCTCAGACCTTTCCTGATGCTACAGCTTTTGTTTTCCAGTGGCCAAAAATACCAAAATGTCTGTTGTATTTATGGATTAAAAACTGCTTATCAAGCCTTTGTTATTACTCTTCCTCCTGAAGATGGTAATAATCTATGTGGCCAAATATTTGGACCCTTTCTGGACTTAAGCATTTTACTGTAGTTGGTTTCCTAATTTAATGCTCTCCATAGTCTTGCTAATGGTAGGAATGAGTAATTTCTGTTTGTCTTCATTTTCAAGTATTTCTGGTTAAGGGATTCAAAAAAAAAAAAAACTAAAACTGTTTTTGTTTGATGTAATATAAAATATGGAATTGATCTTTCCAGAGTCAGAGATGATTAATGTTTTTGCTATATACTTTTATACATTATTTTCTTATCAAACTAGTTAACAAGTATTTTTATATGTTTGTAAGCAAATATGCTTTCACAGCATACTCTGTGTATATGTAAAGATAAGTATTTAATTCTCACTGTTCCCTTTCAACTGACAAAGAAAAAAAGTGGAAACTGCAGAAACTGTGGTAGAATTTGGACTTGCCGGTCTGGTCCTGGTTGTACCCATCTTTGGCCAGCCACACCCCTACTCAAGAAACCTTCCCAGTAGAGAGCAGCAGGATGAGACTCTGACGTCACTTCCAGTGCCCCCCGCCCCCCACTAGGTATTGACTGGTGTTTATCAAGTATTATGTGTAAAACGTTTGATTGACAATTTAGTATAATTGTGGATGGTTTCTGATTTTGTTTTTAATTCTGTGGATTGTGTTTAAACAATTCAAAAGTATATTTCTGATGAGATACTAAGTGGTATCGCATAGTTGTCACTTTATTGAATGTGTACAACAGTCCATGAAATTTATAACGCCAACCTTGTATAGCTTCAGGTGCTAGAATTAAAATTCATCTGTTATCACAAGGTGATGTTTGAATAGTCATTTTGTTATTTTAGTGGTTTTGTGAGAGAATATTAGAAGAAATTTATTTTCATGGCTGTGCCCTTTCTCAATGTATCTTAGGGTGTGACTCTAAAAGTCACACTGATCCTTCAGAGGTGAACTTGATGTGAAACATTCTTAGTATTTTTTTTTTTTGAGACAGGGTCTTATTTATCCTGTAGGGTGGCCTTGAACTGTGTAACCCAGTCTGGCCTCAAACTCACTGCAGTCCTCCTGTCTCAGTCTCCCGTGTGCTGGGATTGCAAGCGTGTGCCATCACACCTGCCTCTTAGTGACATTTTGAGTTTCTTGCAAATCAGCTTTCTTAGACTTTTTAAGTGAAGTAATCCTAACAGAGGACCCCAGCTGTAAAGGAGAGGGATAATATCCCTCTGAGGATGAAGCCTAAAACACCTGAAGCAAAGGAGAGAATTCCTTCAATTGAATACTAATAAAGTTAAATATATAACTATCTTTCAAGTCTTCAGATGAAGTTACTGCCCAAGAAGACAACCAATTTTATACTGTGTCTTATTCCTTTCAAACAGACCTTCTAAGCTCGGTTCCCAGAAACAGCTCGAATGCTTTGTGTATGGTGTGTTGTGAGTTGACGTCTCACCTGTGTGTCTAGAATGGTACTGGCTGTGTTCCATCTTCGGGACAATTGATAGAGTCACTGCAACTGGAATTCATTCTCTCACAGACCTCCAGTGGAGAGAGGCTCTCCTGAACATTGAACATGGTTATAATGGGTTTGCTGATGCCACCATCTCTCTATTTTTTGGCTTTGTTTCTGGCCTTTCTTCAGATAAAGGTCACAATTTGCTGCTTTTTATACGTCTAGTAGGTTTGTTTGGATGATGAGCATTGTATACTTTTATGGTGGATGTCTCGGTTATGTTGTCTTCATCTGAAGGTTTTTGGGTTTGGTTCTAGTAGTCAGTTATTGTGCTTGCAGTTGTTTGATCCTTCAAGTCTTGTTTTTAAATTGAATACAGTCTCAAATAGCCTTTTTCCCCAGGATGATTCAGCTCTTCTACTAAAGTACAGCTGCAGCCAGTGTGGTGGCGCATGCCTGTAATCCCAGCACTCAGGAGGCTGAGGCAGGAGGGTTGTTGCGAATTTGAGGCCAGCCTGGGCTACATAAGTGAGCTCAAGCCAGCCTGAACAGCATAGCAAGACCCTGTCTCAAAAAGATAAAAAAATTAAAGTGCGGCCCCTTTGGGGACTCCTCTGAATGCTCTGAGTGATCAGTGTGCACTGTACGGTTTGTGGGAACTCAGACAGTTCCCAGCCCTGTGAGCGGTCCGGGGAACTGTTTGTTCACAATTCCTCGGTCATTCTTGGACCAGTCTCTAGAGTTTCACCCTCTGCCTTCTGGTATGTGTCATAGTATTTTGCAGAGACTCATAGCCCCTGTGCATATTTTGGTAGCTCTTTTTTGTGAATCCTCTTTCTTCAGAATTCTGCCCAGCTTCGAGCTGCCCCAGTGTTCCTGAGCTCTGGTCTCTGTCTTCTCCGTTTTAGGGGGAAGTGCTCGTTCCCTGGTTGGAATCATGCATCCTTTTTATAATCTGAAGTGTGCATCCAGGCAGAAAGCCAGAGCGATCTTAAGGCTCACCTCATTTGTCTCCCTTCTGTGAGGGGTTATAGCCCAGTGCTCCCTGGTGGTGTACAATGCCTAAAAACGGTTGTTTCATATATTAGTCTCTCTTATGTATTTATTTGATAAGGTTTGGCTGTGTTGCTCAGGCTGGCTTTGAATTCCTGGGCTCTAGAGAGCCTCTTGCCTCAGCCTGCTGAGTACCTAAGAGTGTAGCACCTATCACCATACCTGGCTTAGTCCAGTTTTTTAAAAACTGTGCAAGGTGGTGGTGGGGTTGGTAAATCCGGTTCATACTCTATCATGAATAGAGTTGAAGTCTCCCATTTGATTTCTATCATACAGTCATAGGTGCCGTGTAATACCTTTAATTTCTGACTTGAAAACTTTTCTCACGAAGTTGCCTCATTGCATGAAGACTGTAGTCCATGCATGTGTGGCTTTTTTCCACCCTTCTTTAGCTGGGCATTGGCAAACTTTCTGTAAAGATCCAGTTATAGAATTGAAGACCTTTGGCATTGCCAGCCTTGTGGTCTCTGTCCCAACTAGTCAGCTCTACCATTCTAGCACTGAAACAGCCATAAACAATATGTATAGATATATGCGTGAAGGTGGCTGTGTTCCAGTACAACCTTGTGTAGGGCCTGGGGTTATAGCTCAGTGGCACAGGGTCCTGAGTTCGATTCCCGGTATCAAACAAAAAAAACCAACCTTTTGTATACCGCACTGTGTTCCATATCATTGTCGTGTGTCATGAGATGCTACTCTTTTGTATTTGTTTCCCATCCATTTAAAATCACAGAAACCATTCTGTATGAAAACAAATGATGGGACGAATTTGATCCAGGGCCATGATTTACCAACCCTGTTCTAGAGCAGATTAAGCATTCAAGGTTTTATTCCCAACTTTAGAATCTCTTCTGCTTCTTGTGGAAATTCAAACAGAATTTCCTGAAAGGAAAATCATGAGTTTTTGTCTAAGGAATTTCCTCCCTATATTGGATGTTTACAGTATTTCAGAGTTAGACATTATGCCCTAATTGATATACATGTTACTTTATTTGCTAAATTTGGGCCAAGTTTTATAATATAGAGTGGTTCCTTACCTTGTCCTTTGATTTTTAAAATTCGATGTCATACTTGAGGTAGCCTGTTCCTCTCTTGGTTTCTCGCCCCTCCCCTTCTGACTCACTGTCTTTATTTTCTCATTGCTCTACATTTCAATCCCTTGAACAGGTGACTGGCAGGAATGGAAGGAAATGATGATCAGCAATCTTTTTGAAATTCCTATCACTTATCTCCCCAAGGGTGTTTACTAAGTTTACTTCTAAGGTTTCAAAGTATCTTTTCAGCAAAAAAAAAAAAAAGTATTTTAATTAAAAATACATTGGCATAATGCAGAGTGTGTGCTGGTATTGGAGCTGCTGAAAAGATTGTAACCGTGATGGGAAACATGGTCAAGTAGACTTGGATCGGATTTTTAAATAGGATGGCCCTTCTGTGTAGAGGGGAAAACTGCTAAGTTATTTGACCGAGAGGTGCCTGGATCTAATCTGGTGGTGGTTAGAATGGCAGAGAAGTGCAGCCTTAAGGAGGGAGTGCTCAGGTTTGACTCATGGACTCTGTCCTTTCACCATCATAAACTCTTTGAGGGCAGAGCCATGCCCTTTGTGTTTACAGCCTTCCCACATTGCCTGGCATGTGCAGGAAATCATGTGATGAACGATTTCAGAGAAAGGTGATGAACGCCCGAACCGTAGTAATGTGGGGAGAAAGGGACTGAATATTAAGTAACTGAAGAAATGTTTGACACTTTAAAATATTGAGCAGAAAGCTGGTGGTGCTATTAGTTAAAATAAGGAGCATAGGCAGCTCTGGTGATAGGAATATGACATTTGTAGCCAGCTGTGGTGGCACATTCCTGAAACTTCGGCAGTCCAGAGGCTTTCTACACAGTTGTTCTGGAGGCCAGCTTGGTCTGCATAGTTTAGGCCAGCCTGTACAACAGAGCAAGGCTCTGTCTGGAAAACAAAAGGAAAGATACCTGTGGCACTCATAGTACAAAGCTAGTCGGGAGGTACTTGGGAATGGGGTTAGAGCTCAGAAGGAGAGGCTGGCACTAGACATGCCGATTTAAAATTTATCTGTTTTGAATTAGTGATCGAAGAGCTAGGAGTGCAGTTATGCACTACAAGGAAATTGGGAGGGGGTCCAAGGGTAAAACTTGTGGAGAAAACAAACACATCTGTAGGGGTAGAAGATAAGATTAGGCAGCAGCAAAAAGTCAAGAGAAAGCCAGAAATCGGAGAGAACAATTCCTTAACATACAGGAATCCAGGGCTGGTAAAAAGCTTTGGGTACTGTGTAGAGGACGGGATAGGAGGGGATAGGCAGTGAGAGACACAGTGATTATGTACAGGTTGCTGAGGACTTCCTTGGATTTGTTTCAGCCAGCTGTTTGTGGGAGCCAGGTCAGCGGGAGTTGTTATATGATTGGAGGGCGAGGAAGTGGAGGAAATGTGTGTACGGTTTTGAGAAATTCTGCGGCCAAATCCAGGTGTTGGGGGTACCAGCTTGCTTTGGCGGGCAGGTGTTTGAGGAGTAGGACAGTGAGCTCATGTGAGGTCTTTATTCTTAGGCATATAGGCACGGAAATCTGAAATTAGGTACTGCCATCTGCAGTTACATGCTCTACCACTGAGCTAAACCCCCAGGTACTGCCATCTGGATATGTCAGCCTCAGAGATTTGAAAGCCTGAGCAGTGATGGCGAACCTTTTAGAGCTTCAGTGATAACAGCGCCCTTGTGTGTGCGTGCCATAGGTTTGCCACACTGGCCTATGGATTGTGGGCTGGCATCTTCTCTGACACTTCCCAGACTGGCTGCGGTAAAGGCCTCGTTTAAAAAAAATAATTGAATCTTCAGTGTTGTGGACTGATACTTTTGCTAAGTGTAGTGAAAAATGAATTAGCTAGGAAAATCATTCTCTTGAGTACTGTGGCAGTGTGAAATTACTGTAGAAGTTTCTTAATAGTGTCTCTTTCTGTATGTCCTTTGTGGATATTATCAGGCTGCTGGTCTTCTTTGAGTAGCACTAGTGTCCTGAGGGAGTGAGGGAAGAAGAGATTCAGGCTTGTTTCAGAAGCAGCCCTTCTGACTTCTAGGTAGGAAGGTAACACACACTAGAAAAAACAAGGACTCTATTTTTACAAAGTCCAAAATGTTGTAAAGGCGTCAGGAATCTTGACTAAGGTGTTTGCCATTTCTTGTTCATACATAAAAATTATTTGAGGTAAAGGAAAATTGTTTAAGCATGTAAGTGCTTAAAATATGAGAATCATTACCAATCAGTATGCTAAAGAAGGGAGTATTTAGAGCAGTATGAGAAAATGTTAATGAGTGCTATCTTAAGACATTATGAATAATGACACCATAAGTGAAAACACTCTGAAATTGCACTTTGCTCTGATGATAACTAAAATTTATGCATGCATATTTTATTTGTCATGGCATTTTTGACTATTAAGTGACTGAAATGCACCTCAAACCAGATTCAGTGCAGAGTGAGCGTTTGCTGGTTTACAGAGAAGTGAGATGGGGGGCGTGGGACTGGCTTTCAGTCCTACGACGGATACCATGAAGACCTGCAGTCAAGGTGAGGATTGATTAATTATGAAATTAGTCTGAGAAAGCTTTCGAGGCCAGAGAAGGTCAGGTAACTGGCTCTGATCCCCAGTGGCTTGAACCCTAGGTTCCCGTTACACTTCCTCTGCTTCTCCACCCAAGCCCACGGGGTGCCTAAAGCAGGGATGCCATTATTCAAATGTGACATTTTAGTGTAGATCTTTTACTTCCAGTTTCAAAGGATTTAAATGGAAGAATTAGCTACATGCTAATTAGCATTCAGCTGCTATTTATAATTTGTTTTTGCATCTCAGTCATTTTCAAAGCGGATTATTTTCATTCATTCTCTCTACTTTGGGCAATGTGAAGAACAAAATGAATCATTCTATTAAAATTAATAGCACCAAATAGCAAAATAGTGGCAATGACTATCTTCCCTGATTCTGTGTTGTGGTTAGGGAATAAACATTTATGATTTAATGATATGTAGATAAATGTCAGTTTCTTTAGGATATAAGTATTTAACTCCTTTGTTGCTGAATTCTGTGTAATGGGATTTTTTAAAGCAGGGCTTTTTTATTCCGGATCAGGTTCCATTATAAAATGGTTCTGTGAGACCTTTTTCTAGCTCTTTGAATTTTCTAATTTTTGAAAAAAACATTGCCTGAAACATGTAGGCCAACAGAAGTAGGTCAGAGAGAATTTTACATGAAGCATATTTGGAATTGGCACTAGCCATGGCCTCGATGTGTACTAAGTTTCTGAAGAATTGTAGCCGTGTGAGAATACGTAGAGCACCCTTTGTGGATTTACTACATAGGCTTTGATTATAAAACATGTTCAGTATACAAAGTGGAAATGAAAAAAACAGTACAAATTCTTTTTAATTTTTTTCAGTTCTGGGTCTAAAGAAGCCCAGGTTTTATTTTTATTTGCTACAACCAATTTTTGTCAAATAAAATGCATTGGCAAGCTGATAGGCAAGTCACTCGGTGTCTGGGAACTATACTTCTGAAGTTCTGTTACCTTGAAATGTCAAATTAACTGGTTTGGCACTGGTTAAAAAATGTGTACAATTACACCTATTCTTTGGTAGTTGGTCTTGTTATCTTTCAGTATTTTCAGTGGAAGTCCAAACGGATTGCGTTTTTGTAGTAAAAATTATTTCCAAAAGGATTAGTTAGCCAGAAAAACTAGAAACCACCTAACACAAGACTTTGGTAAGAAAGAGATTTGGCACTTCTTAAAATTCCCCACTGCAAACAAAAACACTAGTCATAAGCATATTAGCCAGTCTTAGCCATTAACCAGTTATCTGGTTTTAAGTCTCCAAAGTCAGAATTAAAAATATACTTAACAGGGCATGAACACGAGACAGTGGCATGGCTTGTCTTAGAGATACTTAGGAATCACCATAGTAAGGAACTTAGCTGTGGAGGATGATGGAACAGTGAGTAGATTATTTTTTTTTCCCAAGTGGAAAATTGAGCCCCTTATTTATATCATGCTGGGCTGGGGCAGGGGGGTATTTATGAAGGATTACAAAAAAATTGGGAGCAAAACTCCAGGTAGCTCAAGGATGTGGTACCAGTGGCCCCTCCAGAATGAGGGTGCAAAGACCGTATTTTTTACTGAAAGTCATTGAGATGAATAACAGTTGTAAAAGGACCCAACCATCGGAACATTTAATTAGCTTCAAAACACGAAAGACGTGGACCCAATGAGTTGTTTTTATTGAACAGTCTTTGTTGTGTTCAAGAAAATACATATTCAGGGGTATAGTATATATGTGTTGTATTTTAGAAATATCCCGATCTGTTTAATGCAGATTCTTAAAGTAGTATATCCAAAGCGTCATTGTACGCCTCTTGCCCATGATACATATTTGGATTAAGCAGTAATAAAAAGGCCTGAAAAAGAAATGCAACAGTAAGTTTGAACAATAAATGCGTGATACTTTGACAGGACCCGCTGACGGGCTCAGCTGAGCAAAATGATACTAATTGTTGGTAGTCTCCCTGAATTCGGTGAACCTAGAGTGGCGTAATAGATACGGAAACCATGGCCTTCCCTGCGGCTGTGTGTGAGGATCACAGCCCGGATGTGGAAGGCTGGCACAGGCTTGACTTCTACCACAACTTCTTACTCAGCTTGATTACACAGTATTTCCTCCGAGATTTTGTCATCTCTGAAATACTTTTTCTCTAAATATAAAATGTTATGACTAAAAATAACTTTTAAGTACAGAGATAGGTTTTTTTTTTATTAAGGAATGACTTTTGCATTTTCTCATTAGAAACTTAAAAGTCTGAGTATGTATAGGATGACTTTAAAACTCAGGTTTGTAACAGGTAGGCCAGTTTTGTTGTGTTGTCCTTGGTACCAATAAGGATCCATTACTGAAAGGTAGGTTCATAAAACTATGTTTCTAGAATTATGGCACCAGAAAACAAACCAAAGAAAAACTACTTTTTACACTTAGTACCCTTTATCTCTGGTGTAAGAACTGATTACATTTAACTGAAGCAGCCATCATTTTTCTTCCTTTTGGGTACCAGGAACCAAAATTAGGAGCTAAATGCATCCAGAATTTTTCAGTGTAAGAATAAAAGCTATCCAATGTCAGTGCTTTTCTTGACTATTTTCCCCAAGAATGTAGCGATGACCCCGGCAGGAGATGTAACAAGACCTGAAGTTCCATTAAGTGAAAAGACATGGGCAGACAAGTTTTCTGCGAGAGTGACCTGGCCAAAGCTAGGAAAGAGGGGAATGTGTTCTTTTCATCTGGTGGGTGTGTTTCCTACCTGGTGCACCCTGGGACCCAGGGACACCATCCTTTCCAGACGTGGTTGCCCTCCATGTGGATTCTCCAGAGGGACACGCTTCAGTGTAGCACAAGGTAACTGCCTCTACTCACGTCTGTGCTGGGAGAGGGCTGGCTGAGGGTGAGGGAGCCCCACTCGGCCTGTACCCCCCAAGAAATGTTCAGAAAGACTATCCCTGGCATCCACAAGACTATCGGGCAAACCACACTGCAAAAAACGGAAACTAGTGGACACAATTGAAATCGTCTTAAACAAGCAAACCATCCAACCATTGATGACTGTGGAATCTGGAGGGAAGCCCTGGGGAACTTGTACCCCTGCTAACAAGGATGAACGTTGCATGCTCTGATCTCCTTCTTGTCTTTGCAGCTGGTAAACTGGGAGCTTTTGAACCTCTTCTTTACAGTCATATAGCGTTCCTGAATCCCGCCTCCACACAGTTTGGTGCATTCTGACCAGGCGGTCCACGGGCGCATCTTACAGCCTGCAAGTGGAAGAATGCCTGGTTAGGCCAGTGGAACGGGAATGTGGATTCTAGTAGCACTGTCACGTTTATTTATCTGGGCGTCTCTGCTCTTGTGATGATTCGTTGAATAACTAGGCTAGTAGGGCCTTCGTTAGGGACTGTTAACCCATGTGGGATAGATTGCAAAAAAGGGTCATTATTGCTTTGCAGTTCTTCCTGCCAGGGACAGTCTTTTGTCAGCGCTTTGGTCAGTGGGACTGAGCAAAAACATGTTTGAGAAAAGCTTTTAGGAACTTCTGTACAGTTGTGGAAGCAAGTCTGGATAGCCTGTGGGAGAGAGGCCCCAGAAATGCAGATGAGGCCCTTCTAGCCCCAGCTGCTTGTGGTCACGTGAATGAGAATGAGCCCAAAGTCAACCTCAGAAGAACTGTCCAGCTGAGCTAGCTTGAGTCACTGATCATCAGGATCATGTTAATTATTGATAGATTTTAGAAGCAACTGTTTTGGGGTAGCTTGAGATGTAGCACCTATGCAAGGAGCACCAAACTTTGTTTTTCCTCCTCAGCATAAACATGTCTTTCTCAAAAATAAACAACGAAAAACCTTCCTTGACCCCCAGAGACGGGATCATTTCTTGGCATGTTTCTTAAGCACATTACGTATTCCTCCTTTGAACCCCAACACACCTCTGCCTACGCATTAGCTGACTTTCACAGAGCGGTCCGAGCCTGGTTGGCTGTAAGGAGTGGTGACTAACTACTGACTGGGAACAGAAAGGACAGCTGTTGGGGGCTTCTCACACCCGCTCCATTTCTCATCATCCCGGGTAGAGGAAGCACATCTTACGGAAGAGAGGAGAAGTAATTTGAGTTGTCTTTTCAAAAATCCCTTTTACACAGGTACCTTCCTCACCTCTCCTGGGAATCTAGGGACCAGCCTGTGCCTAAGACTTAAGCATGGGTCTTCCTAGTATATTACCTCAGTGGCTTGCTGATTTCTCAGGTCAGCTTATTTAGAGTGCAGCCCCAGGCAGAGGGTTTTGTTTTTATTTAAGTCCTAGGTTGCCCCCAATTTGTGCAGGAGGAGAGGACCCATCGTCTTTGTCCTGGGATATGAATAACACCTCTGTGCCTCCAAATATATCTCTTAAAGTCACTCCTGCTCAAGACCACCTACGCAATATCAAGTCTCAAATCTTTAATCAGCCCCTGGTCTTTACGGTCTGGCCTCCTGTCCACTTGGTTTCGTGCCTCTCCTCCTTGTACTTCGCTCTGTCTACATTTTCTCTGTTGCTTGGGTATATGCTCTTCGGCATGTTTGTGTCCTAGCAATTACTGTTCCTCATAGCTGGAAACTCGCAAAATTCTTTTAAGACCCAAAATTTCCCTGCTGTGGCACCTCCCTGAATTCCAGTCGAGGAAGTCCATTCCTTGGCTTCCTTAGCACTTGGTTCATTGTTTTATTAGAGCATTTATTACTTATTTGACAGCCTGGATCCATAGTATTTGAAGAAATAAACTCAAACCTGACATGATACTGCTATTAAACTTTGTGGTTAACCTTGAAGAAATGCACCAAGCAGCAGCCAGGGCTGTCTTTTGAGCCACACCTTTCAAGTGGATGACTTATTCTGAGAGGTCTTGGAGGACGTTCCCTAAGTGACAGTGGAGACTCCTGAGTCCGTGTTGTTAGTTCCCCCTCTGTACATGGTGAACGGGGTTGGCAAGGCTGGACAATACTTTGGGCTTTAAAGATGTGGAAAAAGAAGAATGAAATTCCTAAGGGCTCTTTGCTTGCTAGGTATGTTATTTAAAGTTTTGCTAAAATTCCTCCTCTTATAAGCTATGCTTAATATTTGGGGAAAAAGAAAAACTGTATGTAAAGAAAACGGAATTAAAATGCAGTCTCTTCCCACTCTTTGAGGCCACTGCAGACCCGGCCTGACCAGGAGGCCCCTGCAGCCCCACCCGGGGCCATACCTGGGAACTGCTCCCCGTCAGATTCTTCCCGCAGCTGCTCGCTCCTCCGGCTCTCTCGGGCCTCCCTCCAGCGCAGCTTCTGGACAGATGGATTTCGAAGGCATTTCCGGATGCGGCACTTCTTGCGTTGCACGGTCTCTGGACAGGGTGCGCCTCCAAACTGAGGTTCCATGAGAATCATCCGGGTTCGAATCATGTGGCCTTTCCCACATGACTTGTTGCATTCGGACCACTGGGACCACTCACTGAGCTCACAGGCAATGGCTGGCAAGACACAGATGGACATTAGTGGGTACCTCTGGGCTGAAACAAGATGTGGTCACGTTCTTTTGAATATTTCAGGCCCACAGAGGGCTTTTTATAGAAGAAACAGGCTCCAAAAGGCAGAATGACATCACCCAGCCACACGGTAGGTAAGCAGGAAAGTCGGATTGGTACCAAGGAGTGACCTGTATTCTGTGCCTTCTTTTGAGTCAAGAAGGCATCAAAGGACTTTGTGTTCGCTCTTGCCCTGTTCCAGCAACTCAGAATATTGTGGGGTGAGCCTCAAGTGGCGGAGACTGGCCTCCCAGGGACCCAGATTTTCTCAGGAAAGCCACAGTTCACTGGTGGTGGTTTTCAGAGCAAGGCTGACAAGCTCGCATTACCTCACTGTTGCCTCTGGAAAGAAAAGTCAATAAGCCTGTAGACCAATGCCAGGGCTGTCGTGGCTCTGCTTAAGCCTAAGCAGCACTTGCTCTTGACATCCTGTGACCTGTCTACGGTGGTCTGTGCAAGAAACACAGGGACCAGAAATAGAAAATTCAGTAGAGGGTCAGGAGCAAGCAGTGTCTATGGTTTACCATAGTGTGAGATCCAGCACATAGCTCACAAAGGTGAATTACATTGATCCGACTTTCAGGATATGTCCTAAGAGGCAAATGATTCTAAACTCTCCATTAGCTTTGCAAAACCAGGGTTGTACTGCATCGAGAAAGTCCTCACTTTGTTCATAGCATTAGGCTTTTTCACCCCTGTGGGAACTCAGGCAAATTTCTTACCTCCAAAATGGACATAATGGACATTTTTCTCATTAGATTGTAAGGATTAAAAGTAATAGTGCTCCTAGCCCAGGAAGTTCTTCATAGGTTCACACTTTCTTCACCTGACTCTGGATAGGACTCGAGTTGGTAACTGTCTCCGTCAGAAGGCTCTGGGCCCCTAATCTGGTGAGCTGGATTGAATAGTAGTCAATGGTGCAGGTGATCAGCACCCACAACCAAGTCTAGAAATGGCACAGCAGCTGAGTATAGATCACTGAGGTCTGTATCTGCCAGGTCCAAGGCTCAGACTGTCAGTTACTGAGTAACCCTCAGAGCAACCTAGGGAGTATTTCCTGCTGTTTTCCAGCTGAGGGGACTGCAGAACAAGAATGGAAGTGATCAGTAAAGGACAGAACTGGGATCTGAACCATGCAGGCATCCTGAGTGCTAACAAGAAGAAGGAGCTACAGTGAAAGACTACAGGTGCACTCTAGAGGAAGGCAGAAAATAAATCACAGCAAGCATGCCTGCCCTTTCACCAGCTAAAAGCAGCTCTCTTGAAAGACTGGCTGGAAAAACTGGCTCTGTCAGAGATTTTGGAGGAGATTGAGGTGGTCAGCACTTGAGGTGCTGAGAACTTGGCTTACTTTCTCGCTGTCTTCTCACCAGGCTGCAGGAGTCACTGATTTAATGTCCAGCCTCTGCTCAAGGGTATATAAAATGGTCACAGGGAGGAGGAATAGAATTAAAAACTAAGACAACTCATGGGTCAGACAAGCCTATATTGGGGGTGGGGGAAGCGAGACAACTAAGGGTTGATTTGTGGTGTTTCCCATGTGGCCCTGATAGACTTCATACCCACCTGCAGTTCGTGTGTTTTGCAGATGGTAATAAGATTGATGAAAGTTTAAATATGTTAACACAGATCCAAACCCTATGCGCTTTCTCCCCAGGAGTCAGTGTCTCTGCAGGGTCTCTGACAGTCTTTCACAGCATGGGGCTGGTTTCAGAGCTCCCTGGACTCAGGAACTCAGGAGGAAAGAAGCGGGGGGCTTCCAGGACCCAGGACTTACGGCACTCAGGCAGCATGCATTTCTCTGTCTGCTGCAGTTCCTCATTACAGTCCCCGAGTTCCGCCAGAGACTTGAGCATCCGCTGGCGCGTGCGCATGCCCTTCCCACAGGTCACACTGCAGTCACTCCACTCGGTCCATGGAGACAGCAAGCACGGGATGGTGTCTGGGTGAAGAGCCAGATTTGCCCCTGAGAACAGGCTTCCTTTGCTGTCTGTGATCTTGGCCCCACAATGCTCCTCCCTCACCCCCTGCTCTGGCTCCAGGAGTAAAGTGAGAGAGTTGCTTAGAGCAAGAGCCTGCAGCTCTTGTGCCCCAGGTGGTGGTCCTGACCCCATATCAGATGAGATCAATAATCTGAGCACACAAGTTCCCACGTGAAATAGCACTGAACATCTGAATAGGCTCTTATTAAAGACAAGCACCCCTACTGCTTAAGAATTATGCACCGATATTCCCGGTACCAAAAAAAAAAAAAAAATTATGTACTGATTGATGTATAGGGCCAGTGCTACATTTTAAAAACACACTTTGATACTGAAATCCCTTGAATGTGTAATTGTGGTTCGGATACCTTTGTGTGCATTTGTGCAGAGAGCGCAAGTGGCCCTGCCATGCGCGAAGTACAGGAAGTGCACCGGGCATGGGGAAAGCGTGTCTTGCCTAAGAGTAGCTTCCAAGAAACATGCTTCTGTGAAACACAGCTGCAGCCCCGTTCTCCCCAGAGGCCATCGGGTGCCACACCAGCGCCGTTGAGAATGTTTCCCGAGGGAGGCCGGCCTGGGCCTGCTGGGTGTCCACACACCTTTGGCTCTCCAGCTCTTGGCAGTGCTCTGAGCACGGTGGGCCGTGCATAGCCTCTGACTTGGATGGGGGTGGTAGGCTGTGCTGATTCTCCACACCTTTCCCAGGTCCCCTGCCTGGTGCCCTCCCCCTCGTCCACTCACGGCATTCGGGCATCATGCATTTCTCCGTCTGTGAGGTCTCAGCCTTGCACATGGAGCCATCTGCCGGGTTCATCTTGATCATACGGTGCCGCTTCCTCACGCCCATCCCGCAGGTGGCGCTGCACTCTTCCCACTCGCCCCACTCCGTCACCAGGCAGCTGCTGGGAGCTGGGGGCCCAGGGCAGTTGAGTTGCGCCAACCGGAGGCCTCAGGTTCTGCCCCGCCCCTCCCATGCAGCACCCCCACTCACAGCAGTCCTCGTTGACCGTGCACTTCTCCGTTTCCTCGGTGGGCAGCGTGCACACGGAGCCGTCCTCTGGGAACTGCTTCACATACCTCTCCCGGGACCGCACGCCCATGCCACAGGAGACGCTGCAGGGCGACCAGATGATCCAGTCGGACATGGTGCAGGTGGAGCCGTCTGCAACACACCACACCGAGCCACGCTCAGGGCCACATGGGGGCTGGACCGCACCGGGAACTTCCGTCAGCAGCACCCATGGGGCGCTGGGCAGTGAAGCAGGACTGCCGACAATAAGTGGTCTAAATCTCTAAAGCAGCAATTGTTCTCTAAGAGGAAATGTCCTTTGTCCAGATGCGTGGAGCACTCAGGATTACTCTATAGTCCATGAAAATACATTTAAAGGACACCTGAATGGATAGGATATGTGCATATGCACACAAATATATATAATTTGGTCTACATACAATTTAAGAAAATTATTATCTATTTACCCTGAATGAATCATACATCTAGGACTAGCGAATACAAATTCAGCTTTTCACTCACTAATCACACGATAAGTGCTCAGTAGTGTCCAGTGGCTACCATATTGGATGGTGCAGAGGTAGAACATTTTCATCACTGCAGAAAGTTATTTTTGGACAGCACTGGAAGAAATATATATTCTGTGATATGGTGTGTAATCTCTTTTGTTTAGAGGAACCGGAGACTTCAGTTATTGTCTAAAGCTGTGAGTTCCCTAGTCTAGAAAAGCACAGTAGATGAGGAAATTTTGTTCCTGAGGATACAGCCTGGCAGGACTGATCAGTACCCCATGAGCAGATTACACTGAGAAGCCACAGAAATGAGGATGATAACAAGAAGACAATACCCTAGCTGCTAGTAGGAAACAAACAGCCTAGTCTGGTGTGGGATTGGGAAGGAATTGTTTCTGTGTGCCAGGAGAAGGACGACGAAGGCAATATCGGCAGCCTTCTGTGTATCTTGGGCCATCTATGGGCATTAGTAAAGGCCGGGATCATGGAGAAGACATCTTGAGATTGCTGGAGGAAAGAAAACTGAGCCGTGCTGTTGGATTTGGTGGTCCTGTTGCCCAGGTGGTACAGAGAGAACTGGTGGTGGGAGCATGGCTGGATGTGTGTGTTGACCTGCTCTGGTTCTAAAAACAAAAGAGGGAACTGAAGTCGTCTGTCCATCCACCCATCCATCTATTTATTCCCAAATTTCCCGAATACTCAGTGGTATCTTCCGAGGTTACCAAGCTATGTGAGATACAAATCTTGCCCTTCTCCAGAGAGTGAGATGGACACTTATGCTAACAAGAATAAACTGACACTAAGATAGGACAAGAGAACTGGGCAGGTACAGGCAGCACAGAGCAGGGAAAAATTTGCTCTCGGAGTTCTGGGTAAAATCTCACATTAGAAGGCACACTTTAGTACACCTTTGTTGGGTAAGGGGACCAGCTTGTACAAACACCCCTGGTGTGTGTGTGTGTGTGTGTGTGTGTGTGTGTGTGTTGGGAAATGAAGCCAGAAAGAACTGAAGTCTGAGTGCACATGTCCACAGACTGTCAGCTCACACACGTGTGATGCCTGGACACCGGTATTTAACCTAGGTACAGTGTGGCTAGACAGGGTTTACAGTTCACTAAGAAGTTACAGTTGGGAGCCACGTGCTAGACCTGGGGACTAGGTGAATGAGACAGCAAGTCCAATCAAGTTAGATAATTATGTTCTGGTTTGAGGCAGTTGGGTGGGGTTAGGACTTGATCAGGCTTCCCATGGCCTGGCAAGACGATTCCTCTGGCAGGCCACCATCAGCAGGAGTGTGCCTTCTGAGAGGAGGTAGGTGTTAAAGGCCCCACCCTTCAAGTACTTCCCCACAGTGGCCTCAGGTGCCCTCACTGACTGCGTTTTTTAGCATCGCAGTGCAATACTGTGCCAGATGTGGACGTGTGTCAGTGTCTTTGCCCTGGTTCATTGTAGGACCACATTATCAGTTTAGTAAGCTGAGAAGTTTGCACATGGACAATATGGAGCCACAGGTTTTTCAGCTCAGGATTCATGCAATTAGATTTTTCTTTGTGAAAGATCCCTCTAATGTCGCTTTGGGAGAAGGATGGAAGGAAGAAGCGACATCAAGGGTAGGGGTAATGGGTTTGGCACAGAGCATTAAGAAACACAGTTACTGTGATACGATGAAGTAAAAACTCCTTCAGAATGTCCAGAGACCTCTGCTTCCTTCCCTGATGGCTCCCCCCAACAATTTATTGTGCAATGGAACACAATATAAGATGATGTGATGTGTATATAGGAGAACTCTATTTCTGCAAGGGGTGGCTTGAACCCCAGGTACAAGGAACAGGTAGGGGTACAAGGAACAGGTGGGGACCAGGACGGTTTAGAGCTGTCATCACCCCTGGGGGCCACCTGACTAGTGTGAAGGTGGGCTCTTCCCTGTGGAGGAGGAAGTTCGGCCTCAGCTACTTTGCAGGCCTATGCCATAGCTCCCAGCCCCTGGAAAGGCCTTCAACATTGACAGGCCAATCACTTTTGCCCTGTTTGTTGGAATGGCTTTTCTGACAGTAGGGTTTCTTTCCCCCTCAAAGTGCCCTATTTTGGGCGAAAACAGCAATAAACCATGTGAGAGTGCAGCCTGGAGAGGCAGAGGAGCCCGGGGCAGTGTGACCTGAGGCTAGCTAAGTTTTCTTCAGTTCTCTTCTACCTGGAGGGTTTTTTTTCTAGGTCAGCCTGTATGTTCTCTTCCTGCAACCTCACTGTAGCCCCGAGAGGATACGATCAGAGGAGGACGACAGATCTGTCCAGGCAGAGTCATGCTCTCGGGAGGCAGTGACCTCTGCATCGCAATCAGCAAGCCGGAGTCACCATGACACAGGCATTGCAAGTGTGTAGTTTAAGCCTGACCTTTGAGCACTTGCAGATAGACCAAGAATTTCTGCAATCAGCCCGAAGGGTGTGACACAACACAACTGCGCTGACTCATGCTGAGGTGGAATGCCCAGGAGGGCCACCAGGGTTGACAGAATCAGGGCAACAGACCTAGACTGTCTTGGCTAGTCTGTTCTTGGGCTCCTTAAAAAGTAGTTGCAGTTAAGACACGTCTATGGGGAGGGAAATAAGACGTCTGGGGAGGGAAGTGTGTAGTCACTCTTAAGAAGTCTTCTGATGTCAGAAGATGTTCTGTGTTTGGAGCCCTCAAGATGTTGCAGGAAGGGGTCTCCTCGGGTTTGACCTCGCTGACAACTACAGTCAGGGTCCTCCTGCCCCTGCCCCCACCTCAGGGTCTCTGCCTGCTTGGGTGAGAGAGGCTTGTGCTGCCTTCAGACCTTCCTTCATGAGCCTCTGCTAGCTGGTCTGGCCTGGCTCCTTACCTTCCTCACTGCAGCCAGGGCCCATGCAGGGCTGGAAGTCCTGGGTGTCTGGGCAGGGGACACTGAGGTCCAGCTGTGCCTTCAGCATGCGCTGCCGCATCCTCTTGCCTTTTTCGCAGGTGGAGGAACTGCAGGCTGACCACGGGGACCAGTTGGAGTAGATGCAGGTTTCAGGCGTGTCATCTGCAAAGAGCGTTTGACATGGCTTCCTGGGCAGCCAGCAAAACTGCAACCGGCCCTCTCCCCCTATAGGCTCACGTGGGGACAAGGAAGTCCTGCTGCCTGGCCAGCCTGCATGAGCCTGAGTGCTCCCGGGGTGGCAGCAGCCATTCCCTTCCCTCTAAACATTATATTTCAGTATCCTCAAAGATGGGAATAATTTCTCTACTAGCACATGAAGAGCTTTTCATTACCAACCCCGACCTTAGCAGACATTGTTTCCACATTCATGCAGGCATTTCATAGGCAGTTTTGGAAAGCACAAGGCTTTCTTTTTTGGTGTTGCAACTTTGTCTTCCAGTGATAACCCACCCGCTCCAAGGGTCATGATAGGAGTAAGGAGAGCTGACGTTTGCTGTGTGTATCGTGTGATGGTACCATTCTAACAACCTTGCATGTTTCATCCCGTTGAGCTACACAACAACTTTCTGCAAGGTGGGCTCTGTTATTATGCCCATTTTACAGGTGGGGGCACTGAAGTGGAAAAGTTAGCTTCTTCCCCAGGGTCACAGGACTAGTGAGAGTCTAGGTTATCTGGCTCCAGATTCTACGAGCAAAATTAAGTTCAAGTGATGGCTCTGTCATGTCCCCACCCCCCAACTAGAAGCTTGGCCTTGCTGAGGTGGATGGATGTGTGTGCTTGCTTCAGAGGCCCACGCTAGGGTCCAGAAGCCTATTCAGATGCATTTTCATTGCCATTTTAAAGGATTGACTGTTCTATACATACTCCAGTGTCATACCTTCACCCTTATAATTGGAACCCTATAATTGGTACCTAATTTTGGCCTTGTAATCCTTTTTTGGTGTGGGTGGAGATTACTGGGGGTTAAACCCAGGGCGTGATGTATGCTAAGCATATGCATTACTGCTGAGCTACACCCAAGCCTCTGGATTATTTCCTGAGGTGAAATCCTCAGAAGTGGGATTGCCAAGTCAAAAGACAAGACTCAGTGTACGGGTCTTAAAAGATGTGAGCACACTGTCTTCTCACAGTGTCACGGCAGTGTCTGTTGCCCCCTGTGGTGAAGGAGAATAACTTACCTTCGTCTTTCTCTTCTGGAGCCAGGTCTGCTACGATATCATCAACATTGTCAGGCACGATATTGCATTGTTCCCCCTGCAGAAGGAAGTTTAACCGAAGGGCTTGCATTAGGAGGAGGAAATGTGCAGGAGAAAGATGGAGGAGGACAGAAAATCTGATGTGCGCTCCTACGCTGTCGTTGAGCTCTGGGCCAACACTGACAACCTGACTGAAAAAGAAATGTAAGAGAGCAGGAGTTGCTAAGCAGGGATCCTGACCATGACAGACTTTAGTAATGGACGGTGGGATTTGCAATGAAACCTTTTGGTGGTGTATCCAGTCATTCATTTGAGCAGTGGACCTCACCACTGGGTTCATTTTGTTCATTTACACCTCAAGATATAACGTGCATACTAGACACACTGGGAGGCCCAGGAATCCCATATTCCAAGGCGCTATCTGCCAGGGATCCTGTGACTCTAGAACAAAAGGTACACAGTCTCCTTGGTCCCTCTGATGGCCTTGAACCGAGTACCTTCCGGGCAATTCTCTCGATGACAACTCTGGCTACTTGAGTGATGGACCCGCCCTCTGGATCATAGAAAGGACTCTGTGGATGGTCCAGACTGGTCAGGGGCCGGATTTTCTCCTGGGGAATTGTGGGCTTGTTTGGTGACTGCAGGAAAAAGAGAGTGGGAAATAAAACATAAAAATCATAAAGCAATTTGTTATATGGATCAGGATGACAATTCTGATAGGAACTTAACAAGGGTAACTGTACTTGTAGAATCTGTACTTATACGATATGCTGTGCTCGGACATGTGTAGAGCTATACTTCACCATTCTTTCACATACATGGTAGGATTGTACCAAAAATGCAGAAGCCAAGTTTCAGAGAGGTCATCCCAGCTCAGAAATGGCTGAGCCAGCTTAGCTCAAATGCAGAGCTCTTTCTACCAACCAGACCACAAACTTTTTTTTTTTGTAGTGGGTCAGATGATAAATATTTTAGGCTGTGTGAGCCATACTGTGTCACAACTACTTAGCTCAGCTCTTGTAAGAGGGAAAGCAGCCGCAGAGTATTCAATATTTAATGGGCGAGTAGAGCTAGCTTTAACATCTATTTATAAATCAGGGTGTAGGTTAGATCTGTCTCCAAAACCGTAGTATGCTGATGTCTGTTCTAGACTCTTCTTTCACTGATTTTTGGCTGGTTCCAGATTTCAATGTAGTTATGTCTGAGAAGCAGGACATTCAGGACAACAGTAAAACTCCTCAGCCTTTGGACTCTGGTCCAGCCTTATGCAAACTCATCGGCTTCCTTCTCTCGCTGTTTCCCTGTTCTCACTGTCTCCGCTTCCGCGTCCTTGGCATGCTGTCCCTTGCTGACCTGAAAAGTGCTCCTTAGTCCATTCCTTCCTTGTGCTGTCTTGGCCACTACGTGAATACTCCCTACACCACCTACTGTACATGATGATGAGACCTCTTCTAGCCCAAAGACTCAGACTTCCCTTTGTGTCCAGGACACCCAGAGAACGGCTGTACCAGGTGAGCCGCTCCCCGCTGCAGGCACACACCTACCTCATAGGTCACCCCGCTGTCGGTGCCAGCATCCCAGGGGATCAGGTCTTGCACCACCTTCTGGACCCAGCCACATTCCTTGGTGCACAGATCCTCTGCAGATAAGCCCACGTTCCAGTCAGGACTCGGGCCCATCATGGTCAGGAAGGACATTAAGTGGCGTGTCCTGTCCACTGAAAATTCAGCTGAGGGCGCTGCTCTCCTGGAAACCAAACACAGAACCCATTACACTGGGGAGCGTGCGCTGCAGATTCTGGGGGCGTCCAGCCTGTCCACAGCTAGAGGCGGAGGCTGAGAGAGGAGGCAGTTTCTTTGGCCTTTACTGGTTTATACGCTTCGATCTTTGAGCCTACAGTTGGGCAGACATGGAGAGAACCCTGTGCTATCACTCCATCCAGTTTTAATGTGTCCACAGCACATACTATTCTTTTGCTTGCTTGCTGATTTATTCTTTAGCGGATTATTGACTGTCACCTGTCACAGTAGGACAAGCTCTGGGAAAGCAAGGGTCTTGTCCGTCTCATGCATAGCTTTCTTCCCAGTGCCCCAAACACTGGCTGGGACAGTGTAAGATACTTGGTAAACATTTTTGAAAAAATGAACAAGTACTGTGTGTGTATCCAGACTTGTTGGATATGAGATGAACTTTACCAATAAAAACTGCTTACTGAGGCTTACTGTCCCAAGCCTTTAAGCACAAATGCTCATTTAATCTTTACAGCAGACCTGGGGTAAGGATCATTGGCTCCATTTTACAGGGGAAGAAACTGAGGCTCGGGAGGTGCCTGTAACTTGTCCAGAGTCACAAAGTTAAGCAGCAGCATGGAGACCGCAACCCATGCCAATATTAGTTCAAGGCCAATGTTCTTCCCATCACCAGCTTGCAAATTCTCCTCCTGCCTCCTTTTCACTCCATCGTGCCGTCGGAAGGATGTCCTTCCTGCTGCCCCTGTTGCCCTCTCGAGGCTGCCTTTGGCAAGGCCTGGCACCGGGGCGCACGCCTTGGCTCCGAGCTGGTTCCCTGGCTATTGCCTGCAGTTGGGAGCCAGGGTCCAGCTGCAGAGCCAGGCATCTTTGGCTGACAGCTTCCAGCTGGTGGAAATAGCATCCCAAGTCTGCAGCTGCAAGGGGCAACCAGGCTGCACGGGGTACACGGTGGCAGCCCGCCACAGGGACTGTGGAGGGAAAGTCACTCTTGGTGGCTGACCTATGTCGTTTCATTTTCCCCTCCTGACAGTCCTGTGGGATCTGGATTATCCTGTTTGGAGAGAAGCAGTGAAAAGTATAACTGTTAATGCATTTGGAGACACAGGTTGTAGAGGCGGAGGCCCTCATGACTTGACACCCCCAGGCTGCTAATTATGGGGGATCCTTGGCTGGGGAACAGCGGGTCTTGGTCCAGCTGGCAGCTGTTCCTTCTTCGCTGTCTGGGAGTCCCTGTGCCTTCTGTGGGGCCATCTGCGTCTGCCTGCCCCCACCTGGCCCTGGAAAGTGACGACTGCAGACCTGGTGGGGCGTGTGGAACGGGACTGTTGGGCTTTAACAACATGCAGGAGAGGGAGAAGCCTGCGCGTGTGTCTTGGCACCAGCTCCTACAGCTACGTGTTCTTAGGTAAATTCTCAAATCTTTCTGTGCCTCAGTGTCCAAATCTTTAAAATGGAGATCACACACGCCTACCGCACAGGGTTGCTGTGGGTGTCCAATGAGCTGACTTGCATGCGTTCATTTTTAGGCTGGGACCTGGCATCCGAGTTGTTATTCTTATTACAGGTTGAACATTCCTAATCTCAATATCTAAGAGCCAAAATGCTTCAACATCCAAAGCTTTTTCAACACCGACCAGATGTTGCAAGTGAAAACATCCACACCATGAAACTCACTTCACACACAAAACTACTTAAAATGATACGAAATTCTCTTCAGGCTCTGTACGTAAGGTGTCTGTGAAATGCTGGTTCCAAGCACTTTGGATAAAGGATCCATAGCCCCTGCTGTGTTGAGAGAAGCACTGTAGGGTGACAGAAAGAAGGGACACCCGCTGCTGCCAGTGTGGGGCCTGCACTGGGAATGGAGAAGAGCCTGCCCCAGCCTTGGCTTCGGAACCAGCGCGTCCACAGGGCCTGGTGCTGCCTCCATTTCTCCCCTTCTCCCTGCCGCCTCCATCCCACAGTCCCTGAGCCCAGCCAGGCCGGCCTGAGCACAGGCCGAGCTGCATGTGCCTCGGTGGCCCAGCGTCTCTGTGCTTTGGGAAGTGTGCTCTTTGGAGCAGCAGTGCCAGACTCCTGAAAACTTTCTAGAAATGCAGCTCACTATGCCTTGCCTAGATTTACTGAATTAGTGATGCCAGGAGTCTGTTCTAATAATCCTCCCAGGTGACCTTCAGAGCTCAAGCCTCGGCTCACGTCACCTCCTCCAGGAGCCTCTGAGGCCCTGCTGACGGAGTGTCCTTGTGTTGCATTTCTACACATCATTCAGAAGCCTATCCTCAGACCTGACTGTAATTGCTTCCTATTGTCCCATCTTCCCCAGACGGGGGGCTCCTTCAAGGCAGGAACTCTAAGTTGTACCCCAGTACCTGGTCTCCGTGGGCCAAATGAACACATATGGATGACCTGAGCTACAGTTCTTAATAGCTCTGGACCTTGGGCAAGTCACTCACCCACGTTTGGGTCTCAGTGTCTTCATCTAATAATAACTACGTGAGGATCAAATGCGAGGCTTTATGAGGAGGACTTTATAAACTGCTGGGGTATCACCTGACACAGCCTGCTATTCAGTTCAGCACAGAGAGGAGATTTCATTTCCTTTTCCCATGGGTGCATGTTTTGGCAGGTAGGTCAGTGGTTTTAGCAGCTTCTGTAGAGTCCTGGCGTCTACAAGGATTGCCATCTGGAGAGCTGTGGCACTGTTCTCTGAGGGACTCACAGGCCTGCCAAGCGAGAACACTGGCATATATGTGGCACAGGTTTATGCCCTGGGGACCTTGACCTTCAGGCCCTTAGGGGGCCCAGCAGTCCCTTGGGAAACAGGCTTCTGTTGCCATAGAGACCAAATGATCCACCTATTGCCTTCCCAATGTCCTAAGTATGTGATTTTTGGGTCAAGTTGGTCATTCATGTCCTGTACCCTGTAAGTGACACAATTCATAGTGACAACTTAAGAGAACGAAGACAGCTCTGCTGAAGAACCCAGAGCTGTAGAAATTAACCAGCACACCATGTGCTGGAGCCCAACACATCATCCTCATACATGTACAGCTGATGGATATAACCATGCAAGAGCAAAGCCTGTGGAAGTCATTCCAAACAAATGCATCTGGGCTAAATGTCATATCCAAATCTGTAGCCTGAGCGAGGTTCCCTCTAGAGCCTGGTATGTATTTTAAGGGGCAGGAAATTTAGAGCAACCGACCCCTGCCTAAATCAGCTTGGCCATAGTAAATGTGACCCTATAAAGGGTCAGGGGAAAATCTTCAATTATCTTCACACACATCTTGGTCCTTTTTCTCATCTTGGACTGGGACATTTCTCCCTGACCCCCAGCTTGTGTACTACTTCTTGGAGAAAGTATCTCTGACCTCTATAGATTGATTGGGATTCCTATGCTACCTTCCCACAGCCTACGGAGTCCACCCTTGCATGGGAATTTGTGTAATAGCTGTCTTCCCCTTTAGTTCTCAGTAGACTAGGGACCATTTTGTCTTGATGAGAGCTATATCTCCCTGCTTGGTTTTGAGTTTGGCATGTACTGCATTGTCTTCCAATGTTTGTTGAAATAAATGAATTAATCTAGGAAATGAATGGGGAGTTCTTGTACCTCTCCTTGACCTTCAAATTTAATTAAAAATCACTTGAAAGTATTTGTTACTTCTATTATAAAATGGTTATTTAAAATAATGAAATGGATAAGAATATATGTAGTTTTCTTTAGAAAATGCTAGATTGGATTAAAGTTCTTTAATTTGTTCAAACAATAATAAAAGTCATCATTCTTATATGTCATGTCTTCTAAGAGATGGCATTTTGCTAATTTGATTTTATTTTTCTATCTAGGATTTAAATTTGAATCCATTTTCTAGCAAAGGAAATGGATCTAGTCAGATCATAAACCAGAGTATAAGGGCTAATAATAAAAAAGTGTAATATTCAAAGTAAAATAGAAATATAAATCAAGGAGCAGAAATTTGAGATTCCAGAAGTACAGAAAAGACTTATGCAAAACAAGTTACTCAAATTAGGGTGAAAGGAAAGATTATGTAACAAGTGGGTTTGGGTTATTATTAAAAAAAAAATCATATGACAAATGAGGATAATTAATAACAAATCCAGAGTCAAATAGAAAACAGACCATAAAAAAAATCAAAATTTCAAAGAAATCCGTCAGACAAATAATTTTCTCAGCTTTGAGATAATAAAAGCAAGCACAAAGGCAACACTAATTGAATTATACATTAAAAACATCTTCATCATGAAAATAGTACATGTTTAATGTCCCTAGTCCCATAATCTGAAAGGCTCCAAGATCTGAAACTTTGAGGGTCAACATGTCACCACAAATGGAAAATTCCACACCTGACCTCACAGATTGGGTCACAGTCAAAAGGCAGGTGCACCCAAAACATCACATAAAACTACTTTCAGGTTATGTTTATAAGGTGTGTATGTTACACACAAGAAATCTCATTATGGATATGAAAACGTTCCAACCGAAAAAAATCTGAACTCCCAGACGCCTCTGTCTGGTTCCAAGCATTTTGGATAATGGACACTCAACCCATACCTGAATGGCAGAGAAAAATGACCTGGTGACGCATGTCTCCATCAGGTGTAACTGATAAAGTGTTAATACGTACGCAGACAGAATGCAAATTGGTAAGGAAACGACCACAATCCCAGCAAAGGAATGCCGTGGACAGAAGATTCACATCAGAAGAATGAAAAGTAAAGGAGAGCAGGAGAAATGTCCCCTCCTTTCATATTCTGAGAGGCAGAAAGGCCCTTGGAAAGAACCCAGGGCACTGGACAAGACCGCTGTTGGATTTGAACCTTGGCTCAGCCATTATTTACCAGCTTCAGAACAGGGGCTTTCACCTCACTTTTCATTGCAGACGTGACTTCTGCAAAATGTGCACATAACCCCCAGGGTTTATTGTGAGGAAATTATTCCTCAGGATGCCCAGCACAAACGAGGACTTGGTAAAA